GGTTATAATTGTCTCAATTAATTTCCATCTTGTTTCATCTTAATTATTCTGGTCATTTTCTTTCTTGAGCTTTTTTCTGATTTGAGTTTTGAATTTACTCCTATATCAAGTTATTTGAGTGTTTTCTTTGTGTGCCTTATCTAATCTCTTGAGTTGCAGTCTTGCTCATCGGCTTACTTTTCAATATTGGAGTGTACTTTGCCGAGAGGGTAGATTGAGCGTTTGTGAGGGAGTGATTCATTGTTTGAGTGTTAAACACGAGTAAAATTCATTTACGAGTGGAAACACGTGAGGGAGTGCTTGTGAGGTCCATTTCTTGTTACTTTAACTTGTTTTGCAGCATGTCCAATCCTGAAGATAATACCATTCCCGATGCCCGAACGAGAGAGGCACTAGAAGGAACTATGGAACGATTGATTCGTGGCATGGAGGCTTTGACAGAACGGATAGGAAGGTTGGAGGCTCAAAACCAAGCTTCGGAGAGAATTCCACCACCACGTGTTCTAGATGAGGATGATTATAAAGGTGATGGATCTGATCATTGGGAGGACGATCAAGTTACAGTCTTGGCGGCTCCAAGACGGGGAGAGAGAAATGTTGGTCGTGGCTTAGATCGAGGGCGAGGCCGAAGAGGCTACCATAATCTCTAACGGAGAGCTCCACGGGAGGATGCTCAAGTTGACCAAAACTTGGGAAATATCAAATTGAAGCTTCCAAAGTTCTATGGTAAGACTGATCTGGAGTCTTACATTCAGTGGGAGAAGCAAGTGGAGTACGTATTTGACTGCCACAATTTTAGTGAAGAAAAGAAGGTAAAACTATGTATTGCTCAATTTAAAGATTATGAAATAACATGGTGGGACAAATTGATGTCAAGTAGGAGACGAAATCTTGAGGCGCCAATCGATTCATGGTATGAATTCAAGGAGTTGGTGAGAAGGCGGTTTGTTCCTAGACATTTCCAAAGGGACACGATGCAAAAGCTACAAGTGTTGAGACAAGGTAGCAAGTCCGTGGAGGACTATTACAAGGAGATAGATTTGTTTATGGATCGACTTGATCTTAAAGAGGATATGGAGAATCTCATGGCACGATTTCTGAATGGCTTAAACAAGGAGATTGCTGATAAGGTTGATCTACAACCTTACTTTAACATTGAGGAGATGTTGCATATTGCCATAAAGATCGAGAAGCAACCCCAACGAAAGTCCCAAAGGTATTCTACTAAACCTTCTTCAAGTACTTATACATGGAAAAGGGATAGTAAGCATGCTAAATATAAGTCTAAGACCCAAGAGTTAAGTGAGAAACCTAAGGATAAGGGAGAGACTTCTTATAAGGGGAAAGAAAAGGTTGATGAGACTAAGGAAAGAAATAGAGATTTTATGATTGAATGAAAGTTGCTATTTTGCTTCAAAAGCCTAGAGTTTGTTTTACTTTGCAATTCTTGAGTGTTAGATTTGCATGCTAGAGTCATTCAAGTAGCCTTGATCAAGCTATCTTGTGGAGTTGTTCGAATCTTGAGTTTAGAAACAAGTTTTCTCTACTCTTGATATTGATCATCAAGGTAAATTCGTTCTAACTTCTTCCTTGGATTGACATCATCTCGATTTGGGGGTTTTAGCATTTGTGATCTACGGGTTTGCATAACCATAAGGGTTCTTAGATCTAATTGGCTATTGTTTTCTTATCATTTGGTATTAGAGCACTAGGCTCTAGATGGGATATATGTTTCCGCTTTCGTATTGCTCTTCTTGTGCTTTGTTTTGAAATTTTTGTTCTTATTGTATTCTTATCATTTGGTATCAGAGCGTAAAATTAAAGATTAAATTAGCAAATCAAGAGTTTTGTAACCATAAAGGATCAAATGAAGCCTCATTTAATGTAGCATGAACTTGAAATCCATAATTGATATCTTTGTCTTGAATGAAGCTTGAGTTGACTTGTATTTGATTTGAATATGGAGGAGATTCATATCAGTTACCCAATACACTTGAAATATCAACTACCATGCCAATATTAAAGTCTCAATTTTGTAGATTTTGGAAATTAAAACAATTAAACTACTGCAATTGTAACGGTAATTAAAAGACAAAATAGTTAAGAGATACGACATAAAGACGTTTTTAACGTGGTTTGGTTTCCCAACCAACCCCACAAGACCACGCCCAAAGATTAAGATTAACAATCAAAAGTTAGTACACCGATGCATAAGAGAAGTCCTTTTTTAAATCATGTCACAATAACTAGATGGCTCCTCCTTCGATTTAATGTTCAAAGACAAGCTCCCCTTGTGTTGTCATTCAATTGTAAATGCGTCTTCTCCCAAGATTGGATAGAAATATTACTGAATAGAAACAACTCATAGAATTGCACTTATCAAATTATATTAAAAAAAAAAGAATCCAAAATATTACGCCATAAAAAATGCTGAAATAATTTGAGAGAACAAAGAGACTTTGCTCTACATTTCTTACTTGCTATATTCCAAGACTACACAATAAATAGACAAGAATAATTGACGTGAGAAGGAAAGTGAATTTACCATCATTCTAATTAAACCACATAATATTCGTCAATACAATTAAATCACAATTCTCACACAATTAATTAGTAAAACTTTCCACAAAAAAAAAAGAGAAAATAACCGTTGGAAACAATTAAGAGCTCAAATTTAAATTCATATTCGAAAACACAAACAATTCGACACATAAATTAAATAAATAAAATGATTAAATGAAACTTAATGTTTTTACAAAAATGCCAATAATTTCAACACATTTTTAAAATTAGGAGACAAACACGAAAGAAAAACATATAACATAAAGCAAGATATGATAACATAATGAGACAAACCCTTTAAAAAAAAAAAAAAAAACCTCGGCTTTGTTTTCAGATTGATACATCCATTCAACTCTTTTCACTCACTTTTATAGGTTACTAAGTCAAACTTTCATACTTGTATGACATTTTAAAAGTAGGAAACTATTTTTTCCTCGCATTTTTTTCGTTTTAATATAACGAATAAAGATGGAGAATTCAAATTCATTACCTTTTAATCACGGACAAATACCAATTATCGTTGAGGTAAACTCATGTTAACATGTTGTCCTCAAAGTTATACTATAGAACTATAATGAAATTTATAAATTCAATTGAGTCATGAAATTAAATAGACATTTGTAACAAATTCAATTACATCGTTCTCTTTTTGAGAATATATATATATATATATATATATATATATATATATATATAAGAGGTAGTATTGATGCTGGTTTTAGGCATTGGGGCAGTGTTTATCTTGCTTTTGTTTCGCTCTGCTTTACTTTTTTCCTTGTTTTGTTTCTTTTCTTCTTGTTGGTTTTCTAACATTTTTGTGCTTTCCTTAGCTACTTTTTTAGCCTATCTATAATTACTTATTTGTGGGACCTACTTCTTTTGCAATATTGGTAACATTAAAAAAAAAAGTAAAATATGAATTATATTTTTATTTGTCTATTATTTAAATTTTAATTAAAATTATTTCATTTTATACCATTAAATTGAACTTATTAGTTATATATTGTTTAATTAAAAAAAATTCACAATCTATTATAATTAAATTAATTTAAATATGGTACTTAAAATCTTTTTTTTTTTGAAAGATATATGGTACTTAAATCTTTGTGTTTATTATATTTTATTTTCTAATTTCTTACCCTTCTAAAGTGAGAGTGTATGTATTTATGATGGTTTCTTATAGTATAGTGACTTTAAATAAATCGTTCTAATCAAGTATTTTCTCTAAAAATAATTTTAAGCATTCTCATTAAAAGGTTATTCTCATTATTTTATTTTGTAAACAATATTTTAATAAAAATATAATAATCGTACGTCCCCATGCCTGGTTCACTTACAGTTTGAGGAGTAAATATTTCTATGAACAAATATCACATGTAAAATATGAAATATGAATTGTTCAATTGGATCTAAATTTATGTTAAATAAGTTAATATACAATATTTTAATTCTTACTATTAAGAATTAAAATTGATGAAGGAGTCAGACAAGACTTATGACGAGTTTGAGAGTGATTTTAGAATAGCTATAATCATTTTTTTTCATATTAAAATCACTTCTATTTTAAAATAGAATATTTGATAAAAATTCGTAAGTGATTTTAGAAAAACTCAAAATTACTTTAAGTGATTTTCCATTATGTTGGGGAGGAGATTTGAACTCTCAACCCTAGATTGAAGGTAGATGTCAATTACGAAGCTATGCTCACTTTAACAGTGATTTCCATCAATTACTTGAAGGATTGATCCTCCTAATGATTGTTGACCAAAAATTTAATAGAAAATTAGTTTTTTATTGGTCATTGATTTAATTTTCAAAATTGTCTTTCTTTTCACCTTAAATTTTGAGATTTTTTTTTCACTTTCTAAATTTTTTTTCATCGGCTAACTTTGGTTATCTCTAATTTTGTTTATTCTCTAAAATTTTTGTAATCTTTCCAAATGTTTTAGTTCTCATTTTTTTAAGTTTATTTTTCTCTCTAAAATTTTTGTCTTTTCTCACGTTCTAAAATTTTTGTTTCTCTCTCTAAACTTTAAATATAATCATTAAAAATCATTTTTAATTATACAAAAATCACTTGAAAAAGTCTATAACCAAACATTAAAAAAACGAATTATCACTAAATCTCTTTAGCTAAAATCACTAATTCTAAAATCATTCAGTTCCCACCCTTATAACAGTTTTGGATTATAGATAAAGGATTAAAAAAGAAAAGAGAGAGAGAGAGATTTTTTTTATTTTTTATTTTTGGAAAAGAAAAGAAAGAAAGAAAAAATATTAAAGAACTTTTTGGCGAAGCATGTTGGACTTTATTGGCCTGAGTTCTCACTTGAAATTGACAAAAATAACAATAATTTAGGCATGTGGGTCTCTTCTCCATCAAACCAATACATAATAAATAATAAATTCATTTATAGAACTAGTCAAACTCCAAAATCATAACTCCTCTCTCTCTCTCTCTGCTTGTATTTCTATTTCTTTCCCCTTTCCTCTGCCCTTCCTGGAAGTTGGTCTCTTCTTCTATACTCAAAATACTTTTTTTTTTTTTTTGGACCAATTTTACACATACACACAAAACAGATCACTGTATTACAACAACGAAAGAAGAAGACGAAGATCCACTTCATCTTCATCTTCATCTTCATCTCCATGGGGAATCTCTGCGGCACTCCCGTCGACACCCATAGCCCTCCTCCCACAAAACCAAATTCCCCAGGTCAGTTTCTTTCTTCTCTTTTTCTTAAAGAACAGATTTTTCAAATTTTGGAATTGGAATAGTAAAATTTTTTAGCGGTGCAGCGAGACGGAACGGCCCGACGGACGGCGGCGCGAAGCCGATTCTGAAGGTGTACACTCTGACGGAGCTCAAGACGGCGACGAGGAACTTCCGGCCGGACACCATGCTCGGGGAGGGCGGATTCGGGAGGGTCTTCAAGGGCTGGGTCGACGACGTCACCTACGCGCCGTCCAAGGTCGGCGTCGGAATCGCCGTCGCCGTTAAGAAGTCAAACCCCGACAGCTCTCAGGGTCTCCGCGAATGGAAGGTAATTTAAAGAGGAAAATTTGGACTTTTCTTCTCGGAATATTGCAGTAAAACGACGGCGTTTTGGTTTTGGTTAATAATAAAATTTGAATACAGGCGGAGGTGGAATTTTTGGGGAAGTTCAGCCATCCAAATCTGGTGAAATTGGTCGGTTATTGCTGGGAAGAAAAGCAATTTCTTCTCGTTTATGAGTATATGCAAAGGGGGAGCTTGGAAAACCACTTATTCCGAAGTAAACTTCTCATATTCTCAAATCTCAAACTTTTTTTTTCTTTTTTATTATTATTATTTTTGGTTGCTGATTCTTTAAAAATTTCAAATAATTGCAGAAGGCGTAGAGCCGCTGTCGTGGGATACGCGGATTAAGATCGCAACAGGGGCGGCGCGTGGGCTCACGTTCCTGCACACGTCGGAGAAGAACGTGATTTACCGCGACTTCAAAGCGTCCAATATTCTACTGGATGGGGTAATTAATTAATTGATTAATTCCCTAGATAAATGTATGTCGTTTATTAATATTGTATTTATATTATTATATGTATGGTTTTGATATTTTTTAACATTATTGTGCAGGAGTTCAACCCGAAGCTGTCAGATTTTGGGCTTGCCAAGTTGGGCCCATCCAATGGCGACACCCACGTCAGCACAAATCCGGTTGGCACCTACGGCTACGCTGCCCCCGAGTACATTGCAACCGGTATTACCTCCCTTCCCCATCCCACTGTTTTCTCCTTTATTTATTTATTTTTTTTAAGTATAAAGATTGCTAGATTGGAGCTATAATTAAGTTAAATTGCCTCTATTCTATTAAATTTAGAACTATTAAAACTTTCCTCTTAAATAATACATTTGGGAGTGCATTTTTGTCCTTGTCAAAATCACTTTCATTTTTATTGATTATGTTTGATAAATTAAAAAACTGATTTTTAAGGTATATTTGAGTTGATTTTGGAAAATCAATTATTCTTGACTCCCTTTTTTCAAAATCGGTCATTCAACCATCACTCTCTCAAACACACCCTTAATGGTAGTTTTATTCGTTAGGTTAGTTTACTGGTTCAAAATTCAATAAAAAATAGTGAAAATATTAATCTATACTATATATAAAATATATAACATAGAGAAACTTTATCTTCTCATTTTATCATTTTAATTTAGTCGTTTTCTTTACTATTTTGAGGCCAAGTTTGTCATTCATCTCTCTCGCTCCCACTTTAAATCTGTTTAAATTCCGCAAAGTCTCTCTCCCTTAGCTCTCCCATGCCACTCTCTCTCCCCCAAATCCTTTCAAATTCCCCAGACCCTCCTCCACTTCCTCTCTCTTCCCACGCGGTCTCTCCCTCTCCAAATTCTCTCAAATTCCCCCATTCTATCTTCTCCTCTTTCATCACGCCATCCCTCTTAATTTCCAAATATTTTCTATGTCTATGAATTCTACTTTTCTCAAATAATTTTTTCTCTCTCTCAAAATTTCATTTATCTCTCCTAATTATTTCATTATTTTTCTTTCAAATTCATTATTAGACTCTTTTTTTCTCTACCCATCCAAATTCCTTACTCAAATTATCATTTGTTCAAGTTTGTTTGGAATTTGTAAAGGTGGAGATATATTGTTTAGAAAGAGGGAGAGAAAATTAGAAGGGTGGGGATGGAGAGAAAATTTGTAAAGATGAGAGATAGTATTTTGATATATAGATAAAATTAAAGAAATTTGTTTGAATGGCAAAATTGTTGTTAAGGTAATAGTAATAAAATGATAAATTTAAGGTGCACCTAGTCAATGATTAAAGAGCTCAATTTAAAAGATAAGTCCAAACTTTAATTGAATCAACCAAATTCTCTAATTAAGTTAGGTCTTAAATTTAACGGCACAAGTGGAGCCAATTCAACTCTTGCTTGATTGTAGTATAAACTCGTAGACCAACCAGCTTAGATCTCAATTATAATTAACTATTTTCATTTTTCACAACCATTATAATTTTTGTTATTTTATGAAAAACAATTTCAACTTCTAATATTTTGGAAATGGCCATAATTGAACAGGACATTTGTACATAAAAAGTGACGTGTACGGGTTCGGAGTGGTGCTGTTGGAGTTACTGACCGGACTCCGAGCAGTGGACCCAAACCGGCCCAGTGGATCTCACAACTTAGTGGGCTGGGCCGGGCCGTTACTGACGAGCAAGAAAAAGATAAAGAAACTAATGGACCCGAGGCTGGGGGAGGACTACTCGCCCAAAGGAGCGTGGGCTGCAGCCGAATTGGCGTTAAAATGTTTGCAATCTGACCCTAGAAAGCGGCCTTCCATGGAAGAAGTTCTGGAGAATCTAGAAAAAGTCAGTACCTACAGAGACAGACCCAAGGAGCCCAAATCAAATGCCCGGACGCCCACCCGCTATTGATTTTTGGGCTCATCTCCAACCACTCAAAGCCCAATGCTATTGGAATTCGAGGCCCAATTAGATTTTCAATCCACTCTGTGTGGTTCTTGAACTATTGGAAGTGGTTATATATTATTCACACTTTTTTTTTTTTTTAATTTGTAGATGTAGTAGTGTATGTATCCATCAAAGCTGGTCCTTTTTTCATTTTATAAAATATGAAAATGTTACAAAATCCTTTTATTCTTTTTTGGGGAGGAAGGCATTAGGTTTTGGACCAATTTTTGATATCGTCTCTCATGTTTCAAAAGCTTCAAGTTTGGTTCGAAGTATCATAGTTTTATGGAATTTCAACCTCGTCTTGGAAGTTTTTGATTTTGTATTTCTTTCTAACATCGTTATTATCAGTAAAAGGTATTTTTGTACTAATTAACACGTAGAATTATATTTGCAAATATGAAAAAATTTTAAAAATATTTCATATTTCGTTATTCTAATTCTACCTTCGTTATTTCTAAAAATGATATACCTAATATGTGATATACTTAATAATAGGAAATCAAATTAAATATATGCATTATATACTTCATATTAAATATATCATTGATAAATCTTTTCAAGTTAAGGATTTTAGTTTAAGAACATCCATGTTGATGGGCAAATTTGGATCACCTGAATCGTCAAACTCGCACCAATTAAAAAAAGAGAGATGATCTGCAAAACAAACAGAACAACACACAAGTGTTATGTGGTGCTAGCCACATACTTTGATGGTTAAGTTAGAATAAAGTTTTATGTGAAGCTTAGCTAAAGGTTAGATTTCGTAGCATACCTTTACTATGATTGCTTTCTTCATTTTTATAGAGGAGAAATCCTAAACCTAATGGGATATCCTTTCCTCAAATCTAGTGGACCTCTTTTTTGAATTGTTTATATAAGATAAGATATCCTCTTCCTTTCGTATAGTTGGCTTTCTGGACCTTCTTCCCTAACTGTGGCATTGTATGGACATGAATGGAGTTCAAGATTTGAACTAAGGCAACCATCGAGGAACGGATCCATGTTGGGGCCGCAGAGCGCACGTACCTTTGTTGGATTTTATGAATAAAATTATTTTTAATAAAATAAAAAACCCACAACTTTTCGTGAGATGTCGTGTTTTTTTTTTTAAAATGACACAACCTTATATGAAAGAAAATGCGTCCTTTATCAAAAGACATAAGTTTATATGAAAAGATGTGATTATTTGAATGACTACTGATAATTTATAAATATGTGACTATTTTTAGTTTGAAACACAAAAAAAATTCTTAATTCTCTCCAAGTTCTTCACACATTTTTCTTTGTACGATTGCTTAATTATCAATGTTAATTGAGTCCTATGAATAAAGTATTGCATTTACATGTTGACAACTTGGAAGATAATTATTCGCGATACCTTGAATCATAGAGAGAACAAAATTAGTTTAAGGAAACAAATTGACGTAAGGTTCTTAAGTTCGAATGGTTAATTTCGTATTTCCTTAATTTCTATTTATTTTGCTAACAATTTTGACTTATTTATTTTGTTACCGGTCATTTTGATATGCACTTTTCCTTTTTATTTTGCTAGACGAGTTACGAGAATGTTTATGACGTGGATTTTCGTTTCTGGATCAATTTTTTTAGTTATTTTTTTCTTTTGTTGAATTGAAAAATTGTCGGTTAGTTTATCAATTTGTTTTAGTATTATGATTTGTGACATTTTCTTATGGACCCTGGAATAAATTATTTTAAATATATTATGAAATTATTTTATGTAAGTAGATTTTGTTCTCTAGCATTTTTTTAAGGAAGATTTAAATGTCACTAGTTGTATGTAGTAAACATCCTCAAGTAGTCTAAGTTTAAAAATTCGGGTCGTTACAATCGAGGCATCGAACCCGAGTATCAAGGCGCTTAGGACGTGGCAACAAGCGAGGTGAGAATTCGAACTCGTGACCAAAATTCTCCTACTTGGAGATAAAACAAATTAACGTGCCAAAAGCCCAAATTTAAGTTTGCCCTAATTCTTGTTGACATATATATGTGGTGGCTATGGAAAACAAAAGGTAGCGTCATAATTTTTGGGCAGCCAAAATTTTGTGTTTTTTGGCAGCAATTTTTTTGTGGTAGCGGCTCGGGTGTTGGCATCACAAATTGGGAAGATCAAGATTATCTTTGTTCAGGGTATAGTATCTTGATTATATTCGTGAGTTTTTCATTCCTATACCTAAGTATTATTGGGTTTAGAATACTTAGAAGTTAGGAAACTTTTGTTGAGACCTCTAGGAGATATTTTTGGAGAGAGTTTATTGTAACCAATTCTTGACAATATTAGTGTATTACCAACATCTGAGTCGAAGACTGAAAGTAGCCCTTAGTGGTAAACCAATATAATTTTGTTGTGTCATTTTCTTGTGTTTACAGTTTTTTACTTATTTGCATATTGTGATGTGTGTTTGATATTTCTGTGGAAAGAGAAATTATTCAGGACCATTAATTTCCCAACAAGTGGTATCAGAACTGTAGGTTGCAGATCATGAAAGACAAATATCACTTGTTGGCTTTTCGAGCTTCAATCATACCATATGTTTTGATGATTTGTGCTTATTACAATTGGTATTAAAATGAAAATATTTCTTTATCCTTTTTGATTGATTCCAAAAGGGGGAGAAAGTAGGAGAAAAATGAAATTATATTATTGAATATGTTTCTTATGCCACTTTGAATATATTTTTCTTAAGTGGTTTGTCATCATAAAAAATGGGGAGATTGTTGACTTTTCGAGCTTCAATCATATCATATGTTTTGATGATAACAAACTTAATCTACTGATGATTTTTGTGTTTCAAAGTGTCCATAGCGTAGAGTATAAGACAAATCCAACGCAATTTGAATGGCTCAAATTGGAGTTTAAATGAAGAAGTTATAATCGAAACTAGTCGAACGGAAAATACCCGAGAAGATGACGTGGGCGAATTTTATGTTGATACGTGACTAGTTGTATTGTTAAAAAAAAGATTGAAAAGAGAAAAATGAAAATGAAATTAAAAAAAAAAAAGAAAAAATTACCATTTGAAAAAGAAAAAAAATCCTAGTTACCGTTACATATATATATATATGTATGTATATATATATATTATATTCACAATTCAATCTCCACCTTTCATCTTCAATCATTTGATCGGTCGAAGTTGATTTTAGTTTCAAATCAATTTTACCCATTTTCCTCTCCTATTTAAATCCATCTCCTCTCCCACTTTTATATAACCAATTTTTCTTATTTTAAGATCCTCTATAATCCATTGTTGCTTTCTTCAAGCTCTCAATTCTACTTTCATTTTTATTCTTGTGAGAGATTTTTTTGTTGTGAGGATTGATGTATTTGTGAGTTTAAATTTGTAAATCTACTCTATTTGAGAGTTTTAGTGTGAAAAATTCTTATTTCCACACTTATTTGGGTTTCGTTCTTGAGCCTGGTAAAATGAATGGAGTGTGGGTTTTAATCTTTGTCCCGAGAAAAATGTTGGGCTTAGTTCTAGATCCCGTAAAAAGAGCGGTTTGTAAGGTTTGGTCTTGATCCCGCAAAAGGACGAGTTTCCGATCTTGAAACGCAAATGGATCGTGCTTAGTGGAAAATCTCGAGAGGTGCTCGGGGTGTGGAGTAGGCCGAGGGTTTGCCGAACCACTATAAATCTCTTGCGTGACGTTTTCTTTATCCCTTACTTTTTTATTTATTGCTATTTATCTTTTAAATATATTTTCTTTTATTGCAAATATATATTATGCTTATCTTGAATATTTGTTTCATGATATTTTGAGTTGCTATAAATATTGCATAAATTGTAAAAAGTTTACTTGGTTATTT